GAGAGGAATGTGCACAGTCAAGCTCCCCATCAGGGAGTAACCCTCCCAAACAGCATTGCTCTCCCTCTGCAAGAGAGAGGTGCAGGCAGTTTCTCATAACAGCCCTGACAGCAGCTATGTTGTGACCTCCACAAGGAAGACAAGGTCCAGTCTGTCAGCTCTGGAGGGAACAGGGTGTTATACTGCCTCTCGTAGCCCTCAAGAAATTCTAGAAATTCATCCAAACTGCAGCACTTTATTTGTCCAAGGCCACCAGGGAATCAGCAGCAGTATGAGTCGTTGGGGTATGCTGGTGATTTTCTCTGTTTCTCCTTGACAAAAAGACGGTGTCATCCCGGCAAACATGTGCACCAGCTTGCTGAATCAAATAAGCCTCAACACCTCACATGGCAGGACTTTGCAGCAAAACAGTCAAACTGACAGATTTTTGTACTTTGACATCACTGATGGGAAAAAGTCTTACTAATCCTCCAAAGTTCCTTCCAGTGGATGATTTCACCGAAGTCTCTGGATCAGTCCCAGTTGCTGCAAATGAGCACAGATAGACCAGAATTCAGTAATAACACAGGGAATTCGAGCAGCAGCTTAGATGGTATCTCAGCATCCAGAAGCATATGAGACATTTTCATACAGAGCACCAGGAGCAGCAAGAGGGTATTTGGGGCTAATTGAAAACAGAGTACAATTGGGATAACCTGTAAATCGATGTTGTGGCTTCATCACACACAGAAATGCTGGCTTCGATCTGCCAACCACCAATGCCTTGTTCTGGGTCATGACAACTCCTTTTAAAGTCTCTGGGTTAAGCAATAAGACTATTTTAACCAATGGATGTGTTCATCCACTGAACACCGATGTCAGCAGCTGCTACAGCACCTTAGGGACAAAGCAGCTCTTTGAGCCCATCTACTCCTAAATAGGTTGAGCAACTTCCAACCCTGCTAATGTCATCTCCCTCCCAAAACCAGGTCTGTGGGAGAGTCACATCAGTTCTCAGCCTGGATGGCATTTTGCCCACTTTAATACCTCTTTATTACTGTGATCTGATTGCCGCAATTTCTTGCCTAATTCATTTGCTCAGACTTTGGCTACAGATACAGTTCAGATGCTCTGATACTGCACCTTAATGACACCTGTATTGATCTGAACGTGCCAGAAGCCATCCTCATCACCCATTCTATGGTTTGCGCTCTGACCACACTGATGGCTCATTTTCCTGCTTTCATCAGAATACAAACATGGTTCAAAATTACTATCAACTGCGCTGCAAGTAAATATTAGAGCACCCACACGTGGGACAAGTAACAAACACTGATTAATGGTTTACACAGGGCGTTTGGCTTTAAGTTGCAGTAAGAGCATTGCACCTCCTGAGCAGGGAGCCAGGGATGAGGATGGTGGTTAGAACCGGTGGTTCAAAGTAGCCTGTGAAACTACCTCCAGACGTTTGCTGCAGGAGCTCTTAAGTGTGCATCAGAGTCAGGGCCAGAAAGAGTCCTGCTGGGATATAGTAGTGTCCAGGATGTTTGGGAGTAACATAGAACAGTGTTACTGTGTTACTTTAGAAGCAAAACATGGGACTACTTACTATATATACGTTGCTTTGTGGCATTTAACCTATTTAATCACCAGGCTAATTCCAGCTCAAGTGGTGATTGTCCTCACTGACAGTGTCAAAGCAGGATGGGGATCCCACACAGGAGGATCTTCGCTGCAGGCTGGAAGTGGTACCTGCTCCCAAGCAGCAATGACTCCAAAACTGTCCTGCTTGCCTGCAGAGGGGCAGAGTGTTACCATCTGATGCTAGATTTTAATTATTCCTTCTTACTCCTCGCAAGATGCAGTCACATCACACAGAAGTGATTTTCACATGGAAACAGGGGGTTTGGGGAAATAGCAGGCACTTTCTGTCCATTTACTGCAACACCTTCCCCATCTGAGCCCTCACTGTGACAAATTTAGCCCTCTGACTCCTGTGGTACCTATTCCCCTGCCCAGCTGTCTGGGGACAGAGTCCCATACTCTGCTTTGTCCCATGGGGAGCAGGCAAAAGTCTCCATCATCTGGGCAATCATTAACTGCCCCTGTGAGCCTGGGAGGTGCAAGGAGCCGTCCTGCTCTGCAAACACACTAATGGCTCAAGTGGAGATTAGCAGGAGTTGTCACCAGACACACTGTGCTACAGAGGTGACACAGTATCAGAGACCCAGCATAGCTCTGACCAGCCTACACAACCCCTAGCCATCACCAAGGTCACCACCACAGTGCAACCAGCACGACTTCTTAGATTGTAATGGGATTGCATGGAGTTTGTGCTGGAGGCCGAGGCACACAGGGTGGGAGGGAAGGTTGGGCTGCCCAGCCAGTCTCCACTACCACAAGCAGCACCTCAGCCAACATCTAGCATTAACCCAGCAGAGGAAATGTTTAACCAGCCTCCACAACCTCCCTGCAACAGGAGGTAAAACTCTCTGCCTCAAGTTCAGCCCTGGGTGACTTTAGCAGAGCCAAAATTTTGCCTGCGGACCAGAAGCCTGATTGGCAGCAATGCTGCACTCCCAACCCTGTGCTGAGCGTGGAGATTTAATAAAGATCCAGGCAGGAAGGACCAGGCAGAGCTGTCTGCTCTGTCACTCACAGTTGCACTGAGGCCCCTCAGTCAGGCAGACAGCGAGCCCATCCCGGCGGCAGCGTTATCTCACTGTCATTGTATTTGCATCAGCATTACACATCCCTGGAAGAGCCAGTGTTGGTACTGGGCACTCACTTGACATGTCGGGGCTGTTTTAACACAGAGGAGACGTGTCCACACCGTAAAGCTCCTGGTGCCACAGGAACTAGCTAAAGAGATGACAGCCAGCAGCCAGCATCACTAGCACAGTAACTCAGCAGCTAAAAGTCAATCTAATGTACAGCCCCAGTAACAAGGGCCCTGCTGTGGTCTTTTCTCTTCCCAGCACTCATTAGAAACACGGGGGCAGTTGGTGACTGACGCAACTCCTTGTCCGCAGGAGCCACTCCAAGTAAATATCACCCAGCAATCAACCGCCCTCACACAGTAACCTTCAGGAGCTACAGGGGCAATACAAAGGCTTTTTGTTAATTCCAAAGACACAGGAGCACAGGGTGAGATTGCTAACTAATTCAGATAGTAAAGATAATTGTTCTGCAAGGAGCTCCCAGAAAAAAAGAGCTTTGCCATGAAAAGTCCTTTGGTTTAGGACAGAAGGTCCTCAGCACCCCACAAACTCACTTTCCTGCAGAGAGGAGCCCAGATGTGCTCCATCAGGCACCAGGGCAGATCAGACAGAAATATATCCAGAAAATTTAGCTTGCCTTTTTCTGATTTGCTTTACTCAGTCCAAAGCAGGTGTTGATGGTTTCCATTCCCACATCCACCAGCAATAACTACATTTACCTGGGAGCTCAAAGCAGGTTTAGATTGATGCTCTTTTCCCCCTTTGACACATCTCCAGTGAACTCACAGAACCAAAGCCTGTTCAAAGATGATCCAAGGGGATTAGTACAGATGTGCATCAGTTTCTTTTTCCATTCAAAATACCAAATGGTATTTTTGGAGTGTGCAATGAGCAGCCAGGTCACGGGGTAATGGGTGACATGAAGGGAGTCTGCTTGGCCATGGAAAGCTTTCGGGGCACACATGGGCAGTGAGGCAGGCTGAAGTCTGAGCAGAAAAACTGCACAACCTCCCCACTTAAAGGCTTTTCCTTCGTTACAGGTTTGGTTTAGGGGCAAAAGCTGTGTGGGGTCTTCCAAACCCCACCCTTGTTTAACCCATGGCTGAACGGGTCTGGCTGACTGTGCTCATACAAGCACAGGGACACACACCACACACAGTGGAATGTGGACCAGCCTGCCTCTTGCCTCCTGCATCTGATGCCCCATGTCAATTAAATTTAACAGCTCCTAGTCAGGAGATTAAAAAGAATAATCATTTTTTCAGTCTCTAGTAGCAAAGGACCAGCAATGCCTCCTATGTTTCATCTCCTGTAATAGAGCAATATCTGTACAGTCTTTTCCCACTCCTCTCTTGTCTTTTCTTCCAGAAAGAATATTCCCTTCAGTCCAAGGGTCCAAGTGGGAGCAAGAAGACAGGGAGTGGAGGTTCAGGTGAGTGCCAACAGTCCGCGCTGCCCCATAAAGAGCTTTGTAGGTGAACTGGAAGGGACTGGGACTTCTGCTCACACCTGGTGCTGCTGAGCCCTTTGCTAAGAAACATGGCTGGAATGGGGGAAAATGCTGGGACATGGAGAGAAGCAAATTGTGGAGATATGAAAATAAGTAAAAGAGTACCCCTGTGGTCCCCTGGCAGCCTGGCGTCTTTCACGGGGCCAGGAGTGTCAGGCCAGGACATGGTCAAGACAGACCATGGGTGCTGTGGTGTGTGAAGATGCCTGGGCATCTCAGCAGTGTCCCCCAGCTTTCCTTATGCCTTCCTCTTGCTGTGCTCCATCCCTGGCCCTCCTGGGACTGGGACACTGGGCATCTGCAGGCTGGCACTGGGCAACCTTGGCAGAAATGGACATAGCATCCACCTAAGAGCCAAAAGTTACTGGGGTGGTTGCTTCTCCTCCCCCAGCTTTGCACCCTCTGGTTTCCCAGGCTGTGGCAATTCATACCCAGCATGGTACCTCCAGCCACAGTGAGGATGGGAACAAGAAGCCCAATTCAGGCAAGGGCTGCATCTCAGCTGGATGAGACCTGGGGCAGCGATGATGTGGCATCACACGGCTCTGATGCCACCAGGATACCCATGGCCCCATGTAGGGGCTGCTTCTCCCTCTTGCAGCTCTTACCCTTGGGGTACAGCAGCTGCTCCCCTGGGCCGTGCAGCAGTTGGTTGATGACAGGGTGTTGCAACATGCCAGGGAATAATCACGATAACTCGAGCGGTTGCCCTGGTGCCGGCTTGGCTGTTGCAGTGGTTGCTAAAGAGAGTGGGCGTGCGGCTTCCTCTGGGGCGATCTGATTTCTCCAGGAGAGTGGTTAAGACACGTTGAGGAGAAATCGTCCTCCATGGAGCCGGAACACGACCTCTCCACCAGCAGCAGCGGCTGTGCCGAGCGGGCAGCTCGGGTGCCTGGGCACACACAAAGCTGTTTGCTTTGAGGAGAAAGAGTGATTAGCTTGTTCATCCGTCCTGGAAAAACATCACCTGGCAACAAAGAGCAAAGGGAACAAGTTTGCAGGGCGGCAGAGGGACCTCTGGGACCAGCACTGAGGAGTGAGCAAGGCCACCGGCTGCTGCCAGCTGAGCTCCCAGTCCTCAGTGGAGTCCTTGCAAGGTGACAAGAGCAGCGAGGAGGGAGTGCCGGTGCAGCAGCCACCTCCACGTGACCTCCCGTCCAGGGTCCCACTGCAGAGACCTGGCAGGAGCCAGGCAACTCCGTCGGACCCGGCCAAAAGTCACGCAGGCACAAGAGCAGCCAGGCAGCAGCGGCAGCCTCAGCCCCCACAGCCCCATGTCCTGGGGCACAGGGCAGCACCTGCCCCCTGGGCTCCCCAGGGCCACACTGCGGAAATCAGGTAAGCTCAGGGCCCCCCAAACTATCCCAGGGGATCCCCACTTCTCTGCTGCTCCCTCCTGTGGGATGGGCTGCTGAACCCCACGGGATTGCTCTGCACTACATACATGTTTATGCACAGGTGACTTTAGACCCTGTTTTAATTTTATTTGAGATATCATGTTACTTTAATACTTTAGCAGCTGATTGAGAAGCTGCACCTTTTGCTTGTGCCTTTCCAAACATATCCCGTAAGAAATTCCCTTTGTAAACCCACGCTGCAATTCAAACCTTCTTCTTGGAGAGGCATTGGGCTGGACGGGGGGCTACTACAGTGCCTGCAAATACACGTGGGAGGATTTTCTCTGCATTTAACAAAATGCCTTTGAACTACCTTAGAGTATTCATTACTGATTGGTGTGCATCTCTGTCATGCATCTCTGTCATGCATCTCTGTCACAGGCAGGCAAATGAAAGAGCAAATATTTGATGAGAGATTAAAAGTAAGTTTATTGTCAAGAAGGACTGCTGAGCATCTGCCACTGCCTAACAAAACTAAACAAGTGCTCCACATGCCGCTTGGAAAAGGCATGGGATGTCTTGGTGCTTGCTAATAGAGTGAGATCTCAACCTTGTTATCTTTGCTTATCACAGTCCAAGGTAATTAAATGAAATGATTAACCAGCACAGACAGTCCTGCCTGACAGCAAAGGGGCACTTCCTGCTCCCTGACAGCACAAGCATTTCCAGCCGGTAACTTCTACACCCCAGACAGCCCAGCAAGCCTCAAACCTGATGAAATTTCTCTCTTCCAAATACACATGCATGAGTGCAAATCTTGATGACCTTGATGACATCCAAAGTCCTTTACCTTTGGGGTGACTGCAGGTGTTGACACAGGGGCAGCCGGGGCTGAGCCCAGTACCCGCTCTGTACCCCCTGGTGCTGGTGTAAATGGGGGACCCCGGCCCTGGGGTCTGTAGTGCTGGCACGGGACTTTACAAGGGGAAGCAGGACTAGGGGCATTGGCTGAACTGGGGAGACTGGCTATAACAGCAGGAGAACACTGGCTGTACTGGTGGGAAGCTCAGACTATACCGGTGAGCAGCATGGGCTTTACTGGTGGGGAGCACTGGGTGTACTGGTGAGAAACCTCATCCCCAGCATGCACTCAGAAGAGACACAGAGATAGGAATGGTGTTGACACGTGGCAGTGGTGCTGGGAGCTGCAGGGTTGTGTTCCCCCAGCCCTGTTTTATATTTCCATTAGGGTTTTCTCTCCCTTTCTGACCCCGTGACCTCGTGGGGTTTATTCCTGACCATCAGGGCTGAGTGAAGGTGAGGGGACTCGGGCTGTGCGTGCCTGCTGCCCCAAGGCAGCCACCTGATAGCTGGGAACTGCTTCCCACGGCGGCCACATCGAGTTACACTCACCCTATTGCATTATAAATACCAGAATTAGCCTTGCTTAATTATTTAAAACTATAGATTAAAAGCAGACAAAGGCTCTTTGCCTCCTTTCCAGAGCACCGTATCATTTATCGGTGATGCGGGCGCCCGGTGACGAGCAGGGGGGAGCGTGCCAGGTCTATCAGTATGAGGTGCTCCCGAGCTGCTGGCACGGCAGGAGCAGAGCAAAATCACGGTGAGGATGGGAGCTGGTGCCATCTCACCCAGGGAGGGTAGTGTTTGGCATCTGCCAGTCTTTAGGCTCACATTATTATTATTATTATCATTATTATTATTATTATCATTATAATCATTATTAACCTCACCATCATCCATCACCAGGGCAGTAAGCCACAGCAGTCATTAAGCTAATGTGAATTATAGGTATTTTGTTCTGGGATGGGCTGTGTAACAGCAACACATGGATTACTGGAGTGATAGGGTATATTTTGCGGGCTCAGATGCAGGGACTCACCCACCAAAGGATGTCCAGGCATTGAGCCTCCCTGTCAGGCAGCACCCACATCTGAATCACTCAAGCTGGCACCTGAGTGCCTCACTATGCCCTGAACCCACCGACCACGCAGATAAAACACCTGAAAGGTGCTTTCAACACACAAAGTTTTGGGGCTTTCAGAGACCAGCATGCAATTCTTTCCCTGCCCCACATTGCCAACCCAGCTATTCTGTGTTTCTAAAATACAACTAACTAACACTAGAAAAATCTTGCAAATTAGCAAATGTCATCAATTGAAGAATTCAAAACAAAAGACAAACTTTCAGCTTCATTCTTTGTAGGACTTAACACACAGCATGACCTTGTCTGACATTACACTCTCACAGGAAAAGGTGTAGAGACAAACTCTGGCTCCACTTCAGACACTGGAAATGCATTGACAAATGCACTGACATACCCTAAAATGAAAAAAAAAAAAAAAAGTGAACGTCTGGTTAACAGATAGAAGTGCGCCAGTATTTAAAAGTAACAGAGGACAGTTTAAAGATCCCACCACCTCCACCTGCACGTGCAAACCATTGCAAGGAGTGAGGACAGGCCCCACTCCTCTCAGCCATCCCAAGAGGGCTTTGAGGGATAGCACCCTCACCACGGGGAAAGGAAGGCTCTCCAGGGAGCAGATGCTATCAGGGTCTGTAGCCCAGAAAAGGGAAGGTTTCCTCCCCGTGAACTGCAGTTGAAAGTTTGTTAACTTTTAAATGTGTCAGAAACTCACATTATTTCCCAGCCTCAGGTTACTTGTGTAAATAGCTTTAAACCTGCCCTGCTGACCCGTCCTGATGTGTTGGTTTTGCAGCCACCTGACTTGCAGGACGTGTATGACCAGCTGCTTTCAGCAGCACTTCATTAATCTCTTGGTCCTTTAAAAAAGACACATTCATTAATAAATCCCAGGCATCCAGAAAACCAGAGGTTCTTCCCCATAACCACAGTTTTAAGTGATCATTTCTGCCCAGGAAGCAGTCCTTGGGTCAGTGGTTTTACAAACCAGATCCAGGGCTCTGATCTTGGACATCCCTGAGGTTTTTGCCCAGTCTCATCCCTTTTACCAGGTAACAGGGTCTCACAGAATTACAGACAGCAATGTCCTATGAGTATGGATCCCATCCCCAAAATAATGCCTTCTGACTCCTGGAACAATTCAAGGAATGTCCTCCTTTGCCTTAAGCAGAAAAAGAAAAATGAGAATATAAAGATATCGGTGCAGCTGAAACACAGCTTAAGGTTATGCTGGGAGTAAGGACAGGGCATCCTTTCTCCTGCAGGCTGGCAAATAGGGACCCAGTGGAAAATGTTTCTCAGGGAGTAGATCTATCATCTTCAAGACCTGATGTAATTCATGTCTGTGTAAGGGGAGACAGACTGCTATCATGCTTCTTTTTGTCATTTTTTATGGTGCTGGAGGTGTAAATCAAGCCAGGTCTCTGCAGTGGATTTACAGCAGGGTGTCTGTTTTTGCATGATTCAGATGTAGATCAATGAACAAGGCTCTGCTCTGGCACTCCCTGGCCACCATATAAATCAGCAAAAGGTGTTGGACACTTTTATATTGTTCTTGGCAAGATATAACCAAAAAAATACATATAGATGTTAATATCTTCTGCTGTGCTCAGAAAGACAGTGTGACCTTTTAAATAGGTCTGTTTTGGAGTGTTGCTTATAAAAAGCAGTTCTGTTTTCTTTGACACACTCAGTCTTTTGCTTACTTTTAGATATTTTGCCTTCCCTCATTTCTAGAAGCCTGAGGCTTTCTAGAGAAGGTGCATTTCCAGATGCTTTTCTGTTAGTAAAAAGCAAGACTGCCAGGATGAGGATGCCAGGGACCCTGGCAAATACTTAGACTTCACATATGGAGTCATCTCCTCTCTCAGCTGTATCTGTGAAATGAGCTCCCAGTCTTGATTAGTTTTCTAGGAGACCTCATAGGGAATTTTCAGCATCTTTGACATGGCCCAGAGACCAGCCACCCTCCTGTCTCAAAGTGTGGGACTGGCTGGAGGACAAGCCAACATTTTAATATCTTGGTCTGTTCTGACCTAAAGCAAAGCCCAAATTCCTGCTCATACTGCCTGAAAATGCTTATAAATCCTCCAGTTCCTGGGAAAGTTGCATTAAAGTCATCAATCTGAAATCTTGGGGCAAATTGGTTTCACTTGTGTTTATGCTCAGCCCTAATATTTTTGAGGAACAGGACACCAGGCAGCTTTGGTGCAACACTAAATGCCTTAGAATTTTGCAAATATAGATCATATATACTCTACTTGGAGCATTGCACAAGATGTGTTGCTTGGGGTGCTGAGTAGCTTTTGGGCAGCCCAGGGCAAGGAGAGAGGTTTTAGCCTGCTCCTGGAAAGGAGGAGGAAGAGGAGGAGGAAGAGGAGGACTGGCTCATGCCCAGGGTTTGGCCTGGCCAGAACTGAGCTACACTTCCCTTTGCAGCTGCTGCTTTTTGGTTTTCCCTCACTTGGAGGAGATGCCCTTCACAGAGCATTTATTTAGGATTAAGCAACTTGTCTCTCAGTGGTGGTTTGCCCTCTGCATCAGGACCGTGTGCTGCTCCCTGCGCTGCCTCTGGCAGCCTGCTCTACCGTCCTGATGGAATGGAAATAATCCCCAGGAATGTTAAGAGGATTAACAGTCCTGGAAAGGGCAGGTAACCTGAGGGGTGCAACTCTGCTTTCGGCTGTCTACATGGCTACAGCTGTTCTTTACAAGGGGAAAACCTTGAGAGGCTGGAAACAAAATTAGTCCATAACTGTTGGGTTTAGAAAGCTGAAGGGTGGAGGTTTGGGCTCCTGCCCAGCACCTCTTTACTTGCACCTGTATAGGAGAATGGATGGTACAGCAGGACACCAGCTGCTTTTTGCAGGTTTTCATGTGAAATGCCTTCTCTCCCTGACTTTTGTTTTTCCAAGCTCTCCTTGACATCCTGCCTCCTGTGACACGCTCACCTTTACTCTGCACATCCCTCCACACTTGTCCATGCCACCTGCATCCTTAACCTGCAAAGCTCTCAATGCTGCCTTTTGCAGGATAGGTCAGTCTTCAGCTTTGGCTGAAACCTAGAAAGCAAACATAGCTCACAGTGGTTTATTTCTGCTGTCTATGTAATTTGAGAATTGATTTTCCAATTATAGCATCTCAGGAGAGGTTTGCCAGTAGGGCCAGATGATGACCAAACTGCTCTTGTCATATGGGCATCCCTTTCTGGGCAGAGAATGGGTCTCTGTGAAATGCTACCCCCATAAAAACATCTTCTCTGATCATCCTGGGTGTGTGGGGAAAACATCACAAGAGCAGACTGAAGGGCTGGATGACACTGTGCCATGGGGTTGTACACTTCTAGATGTTAGAACTATGTGCATACGGGGACACCCTACCCCAAGTGAATCACCTGGGACCTGGATTTTGGGGTAGGAGAGAAGAGACTCCCACTCCTGAGCTGCTAAAGAAAACCCAAACTCCACTGATGAAGCCAGGGGGAAAACAGTACTTTATAAGTAAAAGTCCCAGTGCCCCAAGAGCTGGCACAGCTTAGCGACAGGACATGAGAGCTACTCAGTCCAGAAAACAATACCAAAGTCACTCGAGTTTCAGCCATTTACAGCATCCAGGCTGGTCCTTCAGGCTTGGTTGGCTGTGTAATCCTTCCACGCTTGCTGCTTGCTGCATTATCCCCTAGCAAAGCACAACAGGCGGATTTAAGATGGACAAATCCAAGATGGACATGCCCCAGCCCTTCTCCTGACATGTGTCAGGATTTGGTACACAGCACACAAGCCAGTGTGGGCATCTGTGTCACTGGAGGCAGCTCTGGACTAAACAACAACATAGGAATAGCCGGAAAGGGCAGTGGGATGACACAGTGGCGTTAAGGTTAGTCCATTAGTATGGCTGTCCAAAAACAGTGTTTCCATTAAAAACACCTGGCATTTTATTTAAGTTACTCCATGGAGAGACTTTTTTGTTTGAAGATTGAAGACATAGCTTTGCCATTTGAAATAGGAGCTCAACCATTTCATTCATTCCAAAACAAACCTTTGCTTTTGTACCTTCCTTCCTTGTCTTTTGACTGCCTCTTCTTCTGTGGGAAAAAAAAAAAAAAAAGGAGTGAGGGGGGAGAAGTACAAGAAAAAACCAAAGCAATTTTATCCCAGTGAAAATCTGATATGTTTTTCTCATTGTTCAAAACCTGGCTTTCATCTAACAAGAATTAGCCATGAAATTGTGCTGCCTTAACCCTTGGCTGTTCTTCAGTCCTTGCATCTCTCTGGAAGGCGATGCTGAGCCCCCAGTTTCAGCCTGAGGAGTCCGGCCCTGCAGGGGTTTCAGTCAGGCTGGCACTTGCCACCAAACATCAAGCCATGCCACCTTCCTTTCTGCCAGCCGTGATGTGTGATCCTAGTGGAAAATAATTTGATACCAAAAAAATCACTGGTCCCAGCTTCCCAGTGCACTTTAAATATGTACCAAACTATTCACCCCAATTACACTCCTGTAATGAGCTCTGATTTGTTTTCTTTTGTTCCCAAAGCAGCAGGGCATTGGCCACAATGAGAAGTTGTTTGATACTGAATCATTTCTTCAGCAGTATTATTCCTTACACAATCCCATTTGATTGCAATCCACTTCATATTTGATAAGTACTTACTGACTATGAAAGAATGACCTAGCCTGCTTTCTCTTGCCTTTTTTTATTGATTTCTCTTTTAAAAAGGTTTTATTCCTTTTATATATGAGATTGAAATAAGAGAAAGAGGCAGCATTACTGAACAACTGTTTTCCTTGCAGCTCCATCAACCCATATAACTTCACCCTAGGCCCCCAAAAATACTTTAATAATGAGACATTTAAAGACCTGAAGCTGCCTACACCCTTTTCCTGGGACTTTTTATTCCTACTGGTAAACTTCCAAATTGTTCAAGTGAATAGTCAGGAATAAATTGCTCTTTCTGAGCCCTTGATTAGACCGTACACTGAATAATTGGAGGCAGATCTACTGTGCTCTGCATTTAAAGACACAGCCCACCACATGCAGTTTGTCTTAAAACTTGTGCTTTGCGCTCACTTTGTATAGGGTTTATTGTAAAGAGAAAATGTAGAGGACTTGGAAAACACCAACAGTGAGCATGCCCTGCGGTTTGCCTGAAATCCAAGCTGCCATTCCTTCCAAAACAGCAGGCTCCTGTTCTTACATCCAACATACAAATTATTACAGCGTGATCCCAGACTGCATGGGCGAATGGTGCTTTTCTTGGCACGGGGCTCGATCCCGATGAATAGGTCAGCAGGATATCAGCAAAATCTTTCCTTGTCAAGAGGTTTCAGATATAGCAGCACTTCCTCAAGCCAGTGTTTCAGAAACCCTTCAAATCCCACAGCATCCCCTTGTGTCAAGGGACTGACGGCCTCGGCCAGGATACCCAAACAGCAGCTCAGCACAGTCCACATCCATGGCTGCTTCCAGTTTTAGTCAGACCTATCTTGCATTAATTAATCCTTGGCACTAAATGCTGTAGCCACTGAAGCGAGTGGCTGGCAAGTAATTTAAGTGATCTAATTAATATGTCTCTTATGAACAACACAAAGGGAACATTTTTTTAAAACCTAAAAAAACCCCGCATCAGCACACGAAGGCACGTGCACTCAGACACTTGACACGGTGTCAAGCAGCTGGGACAGGCACCATCTCTTCTCCTCTCTCTTGCCCAGGAGAGGAGAGCTCCAGTGGGTTCCCACACCAAGCAGGGTGAGACTTCTCATGCAAACACCTCTCTTTTCTTCCAGCATCGATGTACACTGAAATACAACGGGAGCGACCAGATGGTGGGAATATCCTGACTCACCCAGATTACATAGATGGAAACCCAGACCTCATCAAACCTAAAAAGCTCCTAAATCCTGTAAAAGCCTCGAAGAGCCATCAAGAGCTGCACAGAGAGCTGCTGATGAACCACAAAAGGTAAGATGAGGTAACAGCCTGTCACTGGAACAGTCCGAGAGGTGCTGAGCCATCGGAGCTCAGGAGCTGAGGCACAGGTGCACAGGGAATGATAAATCTCTTCACTTGTAAACATAGAACTTGTTGTAGACCTTTCTTTTTTCTCTGATGTGACAGTTTCTTTTAAAACAAAAGCAAAACAGAAAGTCCCTGCTCTACCATCCTGAAGCATCAGCTGGCACTTTTCAGAGCCACAAGCACTGGAAGATTCAAGGCATCCCTAGAGCCCCACTCCTGGTGTCACATGAAAGTTTTCTGTTTTTTCTATCTCCACCACTGACTTGCAAAGTCCCCGGCAATGTACATCATTCCTGTGGGCTTGAAGGTCAACCCAGAGGCAGGAAGAAGTGCAGGCTGGATGGAGCCATTGAAAGCTGGGGGAGCACTGGGGTGAGATCATCTGCATAAGGAGAATGCTAATCACTGATTCCCTAAATAACAAATGGGTAAAAAAATGGGTAAAAACAGGCCAGAATTCATATTCCTGAATTCCTACCCCATCACTGCAATTGAACTTTTTGGGGGTACAGATACAACATCAGGCAAATCACATCAATGACTGAGAACCTACAACCATATTATTCCTTTACAGCAACTGTTTGAACATCAGTGCAATAAAATCATATTCAGCTCAGAGGCTTTTAAGCACAGCAAGAAATCTGCTGGCTTTATATTGACATTTTCCGAATGCCCTGAAATACCCTGACACAAGAGCTCTTTGGCCACCTAATTAAAACGAGCACAGCCTCTGTTCTGAAGGACTGCAGTCATCTCGAGAACCAGACACGTATATTAATTCAGGGAACAATCAAGCCTGCCAGTGGGGTGCATTAATCAATACTGGCTCTGGCTGGGCTTGGGTTTGATTTGATTTTCCCAGAATCAGAAGAATTACAGGGACCATTCTCTGGCATCAAGGCAGAGGTAACTATACCAGCCAGATATTTTTAAAACTCTCTGGCTTGAGAGTGACCATCTCCTCCCTAGTGATACTGATCAGTTTAAAGGGTCACCCACCAGCATTGGCTTTGATCTCAAAGAACATTATTTCAGTCTAACCATGATGGAACAAAGAAACAAGAAATTCCTGCAACAGAAGCCGCAGAGGTGAGTGGCAGCAGATGGGGTGCAGATCCCACAGCATCAGACTGAGCTGGACTTCACACTGGCAAACACGAAGTACATCATCTCTCTTTATTATTCCAGTTATGTGCCTGTCACTGTTACATCCACATGTCCCATCAGGTACTGGGAGGAGGCAGCTCCACCGCAGCCATCCTGCACCCCCTCATGCCTCAGTTTAAAACTGGTTTGGCTTTGACCTCCCAGCTATTTTTCAGCAAGTATGTGAAACCCCACTGCAAACAATAACCTCTCTTTGCTGGTTTCCTGCCACTCTCAAATCCACCAGTTTTGCTTCCTGCTACATGTTACTGTAGAGGGAGAGAGGGAAGAAGGAGAGAGAGAGGGATCTATGACTTACTCCTGTGCCTGCTTTGGTTGGTTTTTTCCCCTCAAGCAGCAGGGAGAAGCAACTCAAATCAGCAGCTTGTGTAACAAAATCCTTATCTTAGTCAACACCTCTGGGCACTAACACCACCAGCTGATTAAATCAAAGAATAGTAACAAATCCACAGGCAACATTGCACGCTGTGTCTCCAGCAAGCCAAGGCAGGTTTGCCTTCTCTCAAGCCTTGGGAAAAGCAATTTTGCAGCATCCAAGCTGTTCCTGCCTTGAAAAACCATCACGACAGCTCTGGGGCCAAGGATAGGGCTGCCTTCACTGGTGTTGCTGTGAAGTTTGTCCTGTCATAGAGCAAAAGAAATTACAATCAGAAGTATCATTAAACACGGCACTGGAAGGATGCAAGCACTGGTCCCCAGCCACACTGTGACAAAACAGAGGTCTGGTTTGCTGCATCTGGAGAGTGTTTCTCTCTCCTCCCTGCCAGTTCAGTTTCTCGTGCTGTGAGGTACCACCTCAGCACCTGCCACCCTGCCAAGAAATCCGTACCCCACACGGTTTGATGTTTCTGCTTTCAAACGACCGTAGCTGAAACCAACCAGCCTTTGGTCAGCAGAGACCCCCATTGCTCAGAAGTTCTGCATTACTAGCACTCCCCAGCCTGCCATGCCCTGGGCAAGCCCTTAGCACAGGCATGGGGAGGTCCCTCCTTGGCTCAAAACAGACCTTCACCCACAGGAACACCAAGCACCGTCCACAACTACCCACATGCTTCCAATGGGGAAGAAGCTGGTGGGAAGGTGGCCAGGATCAGCTGCAGGAGGTAAATCTGAGTGTCTAAATTCAGGCATGGCAATATAAAAAGTGTGAGGTTTCTGAAATTTGTTCAGAGAATTTCTACCATCTCTTTACCATGTATTTATGCCCCGCCTGCATGGCCTTGCTATGTCTCCTTTTCCATGATTCCACCCCTGACAGATCAGGGATTCACCTGAGATGCTTCAGGCAGACAAAGTGGAGCCAGGCACCTGCACCATCAGCAAACCCTCCAGCTTCCAGGAGAAAAGGACATTTAATTTCGGCCTCTTGACCCAAACTATCCATGTCACCGGGGGGCACTGCCAGCCCTCAGCTCCGAAGCGAGGCTTCACATAAAGCAAAGCTTCAGATGGGATGTGCAGGGAGGAAAGGAGCTGCCAGGACAATTACTGCAGACCAATGACTACCCCTGCTGGTGGGAAAAAAATCGTCATTATTTCAAATGTCTTCAACGCAGTTGAATCTGTACGTGACACCACTAAAACTAGCAACAGCGGGAGCCAATGGAAGGTCCTGTTTCCTGACACAGAAAGCTGTAGTGCCCCGGTGCAATGGGATCCACAGAACTTCCAGCACCACACACGCCATACATGGACAGCAAACTGTGCCTGCCCCAGATAGGCAGCCCAGGGCACCATCCCTGCAGTGTTGTAACACCCTCAAACCTTGTGAATGGATCTGTGGACCAGGGCTCGTTTGTGGACCAGGTGTCCCATGTTTCCACTTAGGAATGAGAGGGGTTTCGGGGTTGCCAGGCTGGCAATTTGGTCACACCCCAGGGCGTAGGTACTCAGATCCTGATTTATCTGCATTTTATCCACAGAGGTTTGGGCGTGGACAGCAAGCCAGAGCTGCAGCGGGTGCTTGAGCACCGAAGGCGAGACCTGCTCATCAAACAGAAAAAGGAAGAGGAAGAGGCAAGGAAATTGCAGTCTCCTTTTGAAAAAGAGCTATTAAAGAGGCACCAGAGGCTGGATCAGGTAGAACTGAACTTTCAGTCATCCCTGGGTTATCCAAACCACCCAACACAAGGCACAGGGGAGATGGGTTGGCTGAGGCTCAACCCAGGGTATAGTGTTGCTACCCTTTCATAAAACCAGGAGCCACAGTACATCCTTCACTGCTGCCCCAAGCAGCTGCAGCCCCCTCGTCCTCACAGTGGGATCCACCACGTTTGTACCATCCCATCCAGAACCCCTGTCACACACCACTGGCCCTGGACCTCCTCTGGGTCCCACACAGTGTCCCTGGGGGATGTGTTTTCCATTTCAAAGCACCCTAAATAGCATGGAAGCCATTGCAACATCCACCGAAGGGGTGCTCAGAACCCTGAGGTGTGGTGTGTGAGGCTGCAGAAGTGCTGGAAGAAACATTGCTGCAATCTCACCTAAATTGCTTTTGGGTGCAGCTCCTGACATATACCCTGGTCAAAAATATGCCCGGGGAAGGCAATATTCACTGTGCACTTGTCAGCAGCACAGCCAGGCCCCAGGTGTTCCATGCCTGCCCTCTCACCCAAACCTGTGCAATCAGGGAGCAGACTCATTACCACAGAAAGTCAAGTCATTCTGTCCTGCTTGCCAGTATTTGCACTGCAAAGGATGAAATTAGTTTATTTAATTAACAACACAATAATAGTGTCAGTCAAGCCGTGATCACTTGAAAACCAAAGTCTGGTTTTCAGAGAAGAACCAGGAACATGAAACAAGGTGGTTTGGGGGCAGATCCCTAAAAACTTTGCATATAAAAGTGAGGCAATACAATGACTTACCCCGCCTTAGACAGTAACAACTGCTGAGAGCTTTTCCCAGGCTCACAGGCCTGCTTTGCTGGGAAGGATTAAAACCTCCTCCTCCCTCCCCCATGCCAGGTCTGAAGTAAACCCCTCCCCTGCTTTTCTGATGGAGATGTTTCTCCCTAGAGGAAAAAAAAAAAAGAAAGAAAGAAATTAATGTTTCATCAGGACACAAAAAGAGACTAAGGGAGAATATAGGTCTGGTGTGACAATTTGGAAAAAGAGAGCCCCAGCATATGCACTACACACTCATTCAACTTTGGGCAATAATAACTGAACCCATCAATAATGAAACCCCCTGTTTTAATTCACCTGATGCCTTTTTGTCCTTTCATATGCATAGTGGCTCTTCTTTCTTACAGTTGGAGAAAGAGCAGGAGAAGCAGGAAGACCACGAACCAGAATTCATTAAAGTCAAGGAAAACCTGAGAAGAACATCAACAGTGACAGGGGATGAGAAAGTAGCGTAGCTTCTGCCAAAACTCAACAGGGATCCTACCAAGGCCAGTGCTAACACACACCTGCTGACATCTCTGTACATGGTGCACATTCACAGCCACATTGTCGGGGCTACTTATGGTTATTAACACTTGCTCCTGTAGAAGGCACAGAAAAGGTTTTCCCAGCCCAGGAGGGAATCACTGTGGAAAAAGTGCAGTATTCACTGAAGAAGTACTCACACAAGTGGATGCAGAGATAATGATGTTATTCCCCCCCCAGACCGTGGGTGCACTCTAACCACCAGATAACTCTTGTTAAACTCTAGGGACACAGCGAATATTTAAGCCAGGGAAGTCTGTGGAGGCTTGGGGTAACCCTGCTTCTTCCTGAAGGCAGGCTTGCCAGGCACAAGGTGATAAGAGGGCAGCTGCAGCTGCAGAGAACCTCCTGGAAACCTGGTAAGGTAACTAAAAGGGACAACCTGTGTATTACTGAATACAACCTAGATGACCGTAATGGCTTTCCTAAGGGTCACTGGTATTGCACCAGTGTGTGTCAAGCCTGGCTGAGGCTGTGTGTCCCAGCAGCACACTTGTGCTATTAAAAAAACCAACCTCTGTGTGCCCATACCAGTGCAGCACAGGCAGATGCCACTGTTCTTCACAAGCACCTTTAAACTGCATTTCAACCCTGTTTCAAAGTGGCTATTTAGGCAGTTCCACGCTGAGGCAGAAAATACATTGGACTGTTCCATCAACACCCCAAGTGGGAGGCAAATGCTCTGTGCAGAAAGCAAAGGCTGGGTGTTTCCAGCACGGCTGTCCATAGAAGCATGCAGTGACTGAGCAGAAGATCCCTGAGGATGTAGCAGACAGACAAACTGCTTCTTGCCCCTGGACTACTGAGCTTCAGCCCCTCACCCAGCAGCCAAGATAGAGGGGAACATAAGTCCTGATGCAAAACTATTTGTCAGTGCTTCTAATTCCCCTTTCCAGAGGTCAGAGCTGCCTCATAGGAGTTGCCACCTTGCAAAGCTGAAACTCTTCTTGTTCCTGGTATAGTCAAGCTGAGGTGGATGGTGCATTTGCACCATGTACAGACAGAGCCTGCCACACTTATGGTGGATACCCCTCATGCCCTGGGGTATCCATATCCAGAGCTAAAATTGTGCTTTTAGGAATATCTCAGCTTCTCGCTTCTCACATCAGCCCTGATACAAAGCCTGAACAGCAAAACTCACTGCCTGCCTTTGGACACTGGCCCTTGAATGGCCTCAGTGGATCTCGTCAGCTGGGAAGGTAATACCTGGTTAAACAACATCTCCTATCCATGTCTTCAGTGGGTCCATACATAAATTAAGGGAAACTGGGCATTTATCACATATTTATTAAAAAGTTGCTAATCCATTCCCTAGTCCAGAGGGCTGTTGCTCAGCCTGACAGCTTGGGTGAAAACATCTGAGCCACATCACATGTCAAGAGCAGTGATACAGGTATGGAGTCTCTGTGACAGACTGGACTATAAAAGCCCATAACTCAGCTTCAGTCCTTGAGCACCCCATGTCAAGGCACTGTCTCTGCTGTAGTTTTTAAGCCCCTTGCTCATATGCTTATTCTAAACATGATTTTGTTTCAGAAATCCAGTGCATATTGTCACTATGACTCACACAAGACCTGAAAGGCTTTATTACGTCCTTTCCAACTGTGAAGCTTTTCATGCAGGTGATGATTAAAACCATAAGGAAGAAGCAGCATCAACTATTTTTTCAGGGGGGAAAAAAAAAAGCCAATTTTCTCCGAAGATAAAAAGGTGTTGCTAAGGATGCTTGTACATAGCTGTAAAGAACACTGCATGATACTCCACAGAGAACATCGGTGTAAGCAGCAAGCCAGAATTACTGTGCTGGAGTTTTTTGGGGAGTTATGGCACAGATTAAGTAACCTTGATCAAAGAGCTCAAAAAAAATTCAGCAAATTAATTTGTAATTTTGCCACAGATGGAAATGCACTCCAGGAGAGGCAATCTGTCACTCCATATGCACCAGTGAAATCAGTGTTATCAGCTCACCCAGGCTGGGACAGGGGTATTTATGCAAGTCCTTGGGTGGGAGCCATCCAGTAAGGTCAGCAATAAAAAGGATGAAAGTATTTTTTCAACTGCTTCTCTTAAGCATGCAAACATTACCTGAGGGGGGAAATAAATCAAGGTGTCTCCCTTTGATGAGGTGTCCACCAAGCACAGAGTGGGGCTGCACACAGCGTGGTCCATGGTGGCTAAGGGGTGTCTGGGTCATTTCCAGCAGGTGTCCAGAAGGGAAAGGGAAGGCCAGGTCAGACTGTCCTAACTCAGGCTGAGCAAGCAGAACCACAAGAAAACCTTCCAGCAGTAGAGAGACAGCAGAAAACCCTGACCCAGCTGCCCACCAGGACCCCATATTGTGGGGTATCTTTGTGTCTCTATTTCTTTTACATTAATTTCTCCCTATGTCCCTAAAACACATTCCTGAATAAACATGGTGTATTCAGAAGATCATATAATCGGAGTATTGATGGAAGACAATTTTTTGCACTGTGTATGTTGCTTATGTGGTATATAGTCTATATTCTGTATTGATGTTTATACATTTATATGAAACTATACATTTATATGTCTTGCACCTCTACTGAATTAACTCACTATTTAATGTGGACAATTCTGAAGAAATAAACTAAACAATGATTGTATATTTTGCTCTTTTCCACATGGAACTGAAAAAGCTCCAAGGATTCAAGCAGACAACAGCCAAATAAACTTAATGAACATATAAACCAGTGAAGTCTGACACCAATTCCTTTGTTAGTGCTGTGTTAACTTGCTCATCAATCAGCCCATTCTGTCATCTGCCCCCAACACTGAATCCAGTGCTTATCCCCAGACTTCATCTCAATTTGATGAAAGTTTAAGGGCCCAAAAATTGTGGCATCAGGCTTTGTGCTCTGAAACTTCCCATACTGTTTGATTTCTAACTGGACATGGATGCCCACTTGCCTGGCAGGGTAAGACCCACAAAGCCAAGGAAACACGTCCTTGGATTTAATTTAAAAACTCAGCTTTGAACTTACAGGTAACCCTCACACTAGTGAGCTTTCTTCACTATTTTTAAATATCTTTTTAAGTTCTTTAGCAGCAACCAAAGACCACAGATTATACATATAAGAAAGAGAGAGGGTGCTTCACACGTACAGGTCACACACACCATGGTCCCTGAGAGCCAGGATAAAACTGAATGCAGCAAAGCAAATGAAAAGGACTCATCTCATAACTGATATTTGCACAGATGCCAACATCCCACTCAAAACATGGCAGAGATGGTGCTGGGATGCATTTCTCTGACACCAGGTATTTACTGGAGTTGCCACACTGTTCATTTTGTTCCAGCCCTCCACACCCTGTGACACTGGTGTGGCCAGTCAGCTCATCAGTGGGGGTGAGGGCTCATTCACTAAACTTGTTCTTCAGGTCAGATTTCCAAAACATCTTCCCACCTTTTTGCTGCTTATAACATCATCTCCCTTACTACCCTACCGTGGCAGGTTGTGTACTTAATTTCCTGGAATAAATCACCCAAAGGGACACATCTTCTCTGGGGACTGAGGCCTTTGGTGTGACATGAGACCAGGGGACTCGGGCAGCACTTCGTAAAATGCTTTATCAACCTCTTCCAGCCCCAAGCAGTGAGGTTTTGATGGGCTATGCCCCAAAACTTACACTGATCACACACCTCCTTCCACACATGGATGCCAAAAGCAGTTGTTCATGTCGTGACGATTCCTCTTCTATGCAAGAGAGTAAGAAACAATCATTTCTGCTCTTAAAAGACACCTGCCTTTTAGCTACGTTCAAACTGCTCCATCGCCTGGATTTCTCTTACTGCCAGAGCTTTTAATACCAGCTTTGCTCTTTATCCAGGTCATGCTGAGATTTCTTTCCTGTGCACTCACTCCTGAAGTGCTCCTAGAGAGTTTGCTGCCATGATATTTCCTGCCCAGGAACACTTATATTTTGATGCTTGATATATTCCTCATTACTGCCTCAAAAATGGCAAATTCTGGTTTTCTTCCTCAAGCTATTGGTACCCTCTGACTGACCCTGGCTGAACACACCTGCTCAGGAACTTGCCTCTGCCTATCCTAGGTATTTCTCTATATTGAGATCATTTCCCAAAATTATCTAAAACTACCACAGACCGAATGGTTTTGCGTTGATGAAAGCATCACGGGAGATCATATGAATTGGCCATGATACTGGTGAGATCCAGCCTTATGGAAATAGGGGAAAAGGCAAAATTATCAGCAACGTAATGAGGGTGTGTTCCAACGCACCACGACCAGGTGCTCTTGCGGATTTTGCCAGTTGTCATCACACCTGTGAGATCTCTGGGCACCCAAGGGCACGTGGAGCTGAGGTGTATGACACACTGCCAGGCATGCAGCTCCAGTGGCACTCCAGCTCAGACCTCACTAACACAGACTGGCGGTGACCTACCCAGGCAGCACCTGAGCCTGCCCAGATAGAAGCCTGCATGAACATCAGGTTGCAAGCAAATAGTGAAATTCCATGGAGCACTTCAGAAGGATCTAGTGCCTCCCAAGCACTCCCAGCCCCGGGTCACCGTGGGATGCAACACTGTGCTGTACAGACTAGAATACAGCACATCCATAGGACACCCTGGGAATGTGACAGAGCCACAAAGCATCTTTAATCTACCAGGCTGATCCCTAACACACTATCCACTGCCCGTGAGCACACACACTGCATTGCAGTCAGCTGCTCTGATTGATTGCTGCTCCTCATGGCTGCTGGGCTTGGTTCAACAAGCTCAGCTCCAGGCTTAAAATTACCCAAAACTACATCTGATTTCCCAACCTTTGTTTAACGTCTCACATTAAAGCAAGTCTTCAGTACAGTGAACTCCATGTGTTCCTTCCCTGACAACGCAGTTTCCAACAGGTCTGAAGCAGCAGCACAGACGTGTCGATGAAGTGTGAGCAGGGGGGACTCCTCTCCCGTCTGTAGCCAGGGTGAGCCCCCGGGGGGGGGGGGGGGGGGGGGGGCTATGAGCTCCAGCTTCCATCACTAGAGACCCGGACAGCCTGCAGCAGGGCAGATTCAGGATCGCCGGGGATGAAGGCAGCACACACCCCATGGCAACCTCCCGTTGCCCTCCGGCACGACCCAGCCTGTGAGGCACATCGCCGGTGTCCAGGCTTGCACCCCAAACCGCGGGAAGGGATGAGGGCAGTGCCCTGACTGTGCTGGGAAAACCCTGAGCGAGTCAAGCACACAGACAAGGAGCAGTGCGAGCCCCAGGGGTGCTCTCCTCCACCAGGAGCAGGCTGCAAAAACAATACATCAAATTTAAAACCACCAGAAGAAGGGCAGGGTGTCACTTGGGGGACGGAGCTGGAAGCGCAGCCTCCAACTCGCAAATCGGCTGAAGCGCGATCAGAAACAGCCGTGTTTTTAGGCGCAGAGCCCTTTCAGCGCTGGGATCGGTGGGATTTTCCTGCCTGCAGAGGTCAGCACCCGCAGGAACACCCACGGCCCCGGGGACAAGGGGCACAGAGACGCCGGGAGCCGCGGCCCAGCCAGGGAGGCAGCAGCCGGACGGCTCCCGAGGGACGCGTGGGACAAGGTACGTGGGGGTTCGCGTTCGCACGGAGCGAAGGGAATCGTGGAATTTCCCTACGCGGCCTCACGGAAGAGGAAGCGTCCCGGGCTCCTTCCCGTGACGGCTCAAGGGCAGCGCTGGGCGACTCCGACCCTGTGTACACTGCACCCTGCCCCGGGGCTGTCCTCTCTCCCGAGACAGTAACGCACTTTGAATTAAAGGCCTGAATATCGGAAAAGCAGGAATTAATAACACATTTGCAAGAGGTTCCAGAGTTTA